TATTTTGTGTAGGAAAATTAGTGTTTTTAAGATATGTGATGTGCAAACAAATATATTGTCGAGCATTCGGCCGATGATATTTATAAGAATCGAACAATGGGAATTACAGAGCTGCAAATAACACACTTCTTATGAGAAGTGTTTATGCTGCAGGAAATACGGAAGGTCTTCATGCATTTAATAAGCTCTGTGTTGTGCCGACGGAAGCATTTGTTTCACTCTTCTTGTGGCTGATCATTTTATTTATTTAAACGAAAAAAAAGCGTGGAATAATACCTTCCATGATGATCCATAGTAGCACGAAACTGAGCAGACATAATCTGATTATGAAATGATCGTAAACAATATTCTAATCAAAGAAGTACTGCAAATTAAATCAAGCGATACATGTAAATTTTCATATTAAAGAAATGAACTGCCGGTCTTTTTCTTAACGATTTATTTCAAAGTGAAATGCAGCATAGTATGATAAGTCTTAAGTTTCGTCTTCGTTTGTCCACAGGTCCTGCTGGATTTCTAGAGTGCTTAAAAGTCATTGAACAGGATTTTAATTATGCTCTTAAATTTAGTAAATAGCCAAGGATGTTTTTCATTGAATCTGGAATTACTAGAGGAAAGTTAATTCCCTTCTATACCAAGATAACCTGCAGGTTATAAATTATTACCAGCTTGAATATAAGATGAGTAGAATTCTCTTACTTCTACGTATATGCAGATGAGTTGTTTCTTTAAACACGAGTGGTTAATGACCAGAGAAATCATTGATTTAAATTTTCAGGATCGAACAATATTCTTCAGTGGACGTTGGTTGATAAAAATTCAGGTTCAAGGAAGTAATTTAATTTATTAACGACGTTTCGAATGTGACATCATTCATTTCATCTCTGGTCATTAACCACTCGTGTTTAAATAAGCTTATTCTGCTATCTTATAGTAATGAGTTGTTTCGTGTATCCTCCGATAGTTGGCGTTAGTCTGCCGCGATGTTCAATTGGTGTAATAAAGTTTGAAAACTCTGCACCTAATTTTGTGAATTTCACGTGATTTTGTGCGCTTCAAAACGATTCTGAAATAGTCCGTTTCAGTTTAACGCTCCTGGAGGACTTATAAACTTGTTTCCATGAAACTATGCATGCTTCTCCTGTGAACACTGAATGCATGCTGCTCCTGTGGATACTGAATGCATGCTGCTCCTGTGGATACTGAATGCATGCTGCTCCTGTGGAGCTTAACTGAAGAATGTAATGAGAGTACGACTATGACTCTTATGCACGGCGTATTGCCCATTTCTACGACCAGGACTCCGGACGGGGTATTGCAAATTTTCATTGATCGTCGGAGACGTATCGCTGGCGGCTTAATTGTAGCCGGTTTATCCGCGCCACTCACCGACGTGCCATGCCATAACATAAGATGTCTTCTTAGTGCGCGTCTTCAGAACCCGGAAGGGCTTCCGAAAGTCACGTTCTAATGGTTAGGAGTGAAATTCGAATGTATTTAATGGTCCATCATTTGAGATGGGCAGGTTTGAATCTCGGATTTAATGGTCACTTAGAAGGTTAAGGTCAACCGCCGCAGAGCTTCCGACCATAATAATTGTTCTAGACTGGCGGCGTGAAACGAACACTTGGTTCGCTCAATGGCGAACCAACCTCTCCAAAGCTTCAGGTGAAAGTCATTAATCATTAACAAGCAATCGAGCATTCAATAATCTTCATTTAAAGTGCTATTGAATAAATTATTGCATTGTGTGACCGTGAGGCTCATGACGAACGACGATGACAGAAGTGGATTATTTTAATACGAGGCCGTCCAAATATGGTAAGCGAGACAAACTCCGGACAAGATGAAGTTCAAAAATAAGCTAGTATTCTAAAAATTTCCCAATCCGATGAACCGGAGGTATAGGCTAGTATAATAATAAATTCTCTTACTTTGTAACTATATTATTTTATCATCTTGTTTCCCCTTTTTTGGCCAATTTAGATGCTAATATCTACCGTTTGAACAACATTCTTACTTCGTCGCAGTGAAGTTTAATGTGATTTAGCCTGTGATTCGATCGTGCTCAATGCCTGATGATCAAATTTCAATGCTAATTATACCAGGCAGAGGCTTCCTCTTGTGCTGCTCACCTCTAAACGCCGGCTTTATGACCACTCCTATATACCCTCGTACAAATCTCAGGCGGACGATGGCTGGTCGATGGAGGGCCGGTGGTCGGCTGGCTTTAATTTTCAATGGCTTGTGGTGTCTCTGGTAATTGATTGCGCCAGTTTAATTCAATCCCTGATTAATTTTGTAGGCCTCCCTTTATATTGTATTGAATTATTTTCCATTAATGCCTTACGCATGGTCTTTGTTCTGCAAATATCGCTAAATTGACTAGTGAGTTAACCGAGGACTAACTTAACAAGATTTATTTCAGTTAAATTATTTGCTATTCTTATCTTTCCTCATCGATATTTGCTCTTGGTCAATAAATCTTCTCATATGAAGTCCAGACCTCGCTCATGTTCTGGAACTTAAAAAATATATCATTCTGCAAGACTCAATATTGGAATGCATAATAAAGGAATTTGAGTATACACTTCCAGTGTACATTAATTAGAGAGTAAACTGTTCGTCGGGTATTTTTTCTGTGCATCAGAACAATTACATGAATGAGGGCGGCTGCTGTTAAAATGGCCACAGAAATACCCGCTGCTCCGGGCGCTCCGAGCGCGGATTCTCCGCTGTGCATATATTTTTTTTATTATCTATTCGTTGTTCACTCAAAAAATTTTGCTTCTGAAATCCCTATTAATTTAGTATTGCCTCTACAAGTAATTATTTGTCATGTTGTAAGCGCGACATTGACTATCGAACGCTCGTACGTTAGCGCCAGCCAAGACAACCAAACTTGAACAGTGCAGGGAAGTGAACTTGGTATGCTTGACACTTTATTGGTAACAAGGGTATTGATGAATATAGAAACAAGAACAAAAAATGATATAAAAATATACATATACTCAAAACATACCCAGCGGATGACTCGCACTGAATTTATTGTTCGTAGTAGTGAACTAATATGATTCTGTAAACAAAAATAATAAAGTTAACAAGATGCGGCAATAATACTTAACTCTAGTTATTACTAGCAAAATTATAATTCACAAATATCAGAACACATATTTAAAGATCACAATAATAAGGTCACAGAAGGTTCACCAACAGTGAAGTGCAAAATCCTTCACGACTGACAGATTGAAGGTGACGAATATGGGATGATAAAGTTGAACTGACTTTTTCTCTAAATGAAAATGCTAGTAAAATCGAGAGACAAAATCATTAATGAAAAAAATGAGCACAAATTTGACAGAAAAAATGTAAGAAATAACTCTTTGAATAATCGCAAAAATTTCAAGGAGAATTGCGGAACAAAAATTTAGTGACGACCGTGGCGCGGCTACATTGTTATTTTCATTTATTTGTAAATGAAAGCATGAGGTGACATTCGTATGCGTTGTAACCCGTTTCGCGTAACACTGCCTAATGCTTCACTGTCTGTCCGTTATAATTCATAACTAATTTGTTCTCAAATTCCTGTTAATGACTCGATAGGTTGAACTTAACTGCTCCCAAAATTTCTATTTATATGGTCGTTTCCTTTTCTATACTTCGCTCCGATGATAAAACCTGTTTAAATTCAGTGCAATATTTCACCCATTGTTTCATTATTCTGTGAGTGAATGGCTCAGTCAATTCATCAAGAATGAGATCAAACTGCATTGATCGCTTGCCTGCGCGCCAGTGTGCGCGTGGTCTCATCTGGTCATGCAAGATAACCTCAGCGCGGACCGGTCAAAAGCCATTTTTAGCGCATTTTCTCATTTATGGAAAAAATGCACTATTGTGCTCGCCATGTCCGTCTGTCTGTCTGTCCGTCCGTCCGTCTGTCCGCCCGTCCGTGACCTCAAGTTTTCGTCGACGAGAAAATGCGCTCTCTGTCACTCACTTCAGTGAGTACTGAGTTACATTTTTTAATGTAAATCACTGATCTAATCGTAAAATAATGTCGCACTATTTACCTTCATTGAATAATTGTCTACACTGGGTGTGGCTTATTTGCTGTCAACATTTGTGTCTGCGCAAAGAGATTCTCCAACAGCGTCAAAGGAAAACAATAACAATTAAAGGCAAAGAAAACTTCGTAAATCGACTATATCACGAAGTAAAATTATGAACATGGCAGCTGCTGTAATGTACGTTATTTTCAGTTCTTCTGAAGTCAATTTGTGAAAATATTCATGCTTGATTTATCGATGTACAGGAATTTATTTATCAGCTTCCATTTCCCTGTTATGGCATGTTTAATCCTCAATCATAGCCACGCAGACTCCATATTGTCGTTAAACTAGCAAGACTTTGCAGCATGTTTCGCACGCTGCTGTCATTATTCGAACTCGTAAATCTTTCTCTGTTTGCTTGGGCGTGACTGAAGGCTGATGGCCATGTTGGCTCCGGCTGACCGCGTGTAATACATCGGCCACCTGAAGATCGCTCTCGTGTTTTAAAACTAGGAGGCGACTGAGCTTAGGTTGCAGGAAATTATGATATCGACCTGATGTGAAGAGTGGCTTCAGGTTGGACGATCTTCGGTCTTAAGAGTTGCCAAAGTCTCGCGGAATTTGTGGCTATCTTAGATATTGGGTCTTACATAAGAGCTGCCACTGGCTTTACTTTCGATGTGCATGCTTGCAATCGCTGAATAATATTGGTTTACCTTCGATTCTTTGAGACCGCATCTGTTTCAGCGAAGCCTTTTACTGCTACTATTTTTTTCTGTCAGGCGTTTGGTGTTACATTTTTGAGAATTATTCTATTCGATAGAACTTCGAAGCCTTTCTTTATAAAAGTGTTTTAGTCATGTATACAGTATTAAATCTGGAAAAAGATTTTCATGATTGTTTATAAATATATAAAAAATGGTGTTATTGATTTTTTTATCTCTATTGCAGTGGGAGCAAAAGGGATACGTACGCCGCCGTGGTACTGATAAGAAGCCTCCACTCACCAGCACATGCACGCATCTCTTCCTTCGTGTGCATTCCATCAGTATCAGAGGGTAACTGCGGCTAACTCTCACAAGCAAGCGGATTTTCAACGACTCCTCTCGAAGACGAGTGAAGGAGGAACGCCGTATAGGAGAATAATCTTCCTGCGATGTTAAGGACTGCCATCACTCCGTGACTCCATGATCTGTGCAAGCACTTAAATCGGTCATCAACTTCCTGGACTTGGCAGCTGCATTCAATGCGATCTCAGCACTCGCAGGGAACCGTTTGCGTCCTTCTATTTTTCATCTCAACGCTGTCCTTTGAAGAGACCACAAAAATTCTTTCTTCATGTCTTTGAAATGGCATAAGAATTTTATGGAATTGAAGGCCAGGATTGTTCATCATTGATTCAGGACGGCAACAGGATGCCCAGTTATGACTCAGCAAATTTTAAGACGCTCTCCGCGGCGCAGAATGTGCCAAGGAAAACCAATGCCTTCTTCGCTGCTCAGCCGATGCTTTTTGACAAAAAAGGTCGTCCGGCGAGAACAGATTACTGTTCCTTTGATGAAAATGCCAATGCTTTGGCCTCGAATAAATTCCTTGAAGGAACCTCAGACTTGAGCGACGAATTTATTGGTCCAATGGGCTGCGTAACTCACATTAGGAATGTCGAGCGACCAACGCCAACAGGCGACCTTGACCATGACAAGAGGTCATTATATTCATTAACGGGAACACCTAATTACTTTAATGTAAATAATACTTCAATTCCTCTCAGTCATGCCACGAACTGCGGACCCGACATGACACCTCACAGGAACCAAGATGCTACTGCAGTGACGTCCAGCTCCTCGCTCTGGTGGCAGCCGTTGTCCGTGCCGTGCCATCAACAAAAGCCCGTAATTTCCATCGGTAATTTTAAGACCCACCGCAAGAAGGTGCGGCGACGTAATCATGGGAGCTGCTGGTGGTTGTGGTGGTACGTGTGGCTGCTGGTGGTGCTGCTGTTGGACGTCCAGATGGTCTACGCCTCTACCTGTTTAGGCATCAATCGTGAGTATTAGAAATGCACGGGCGAGATCACGGTCATGATTTACGTGGTGCAAAGTCTGGATTGAGTCGACCTAATATCTTCACTCCTTCTTAGTCATGAAGTACTAAGACTACGTAGTACTCTTAGTAAGCCGCCATCTTCGTGTGAATTGAGATTTTATTATTATAATATTACCATCATTATTATTATATTACCCCGCCCTGTTATTATATTACCAACATTTATTAGCTTTCTGCTACATATACATTCAGCATTTCTAGAGCAGGAGCTTAGTCTTTAAAACCATAAATATAAGACTAAAACCATAAAACCATAAGACTTATAAAAATATAAAACCATAAAAAATTGAAGAACCATATGCAAAATAAAAACTAGAAATGTTCTGATATTCTATCCTTTACTCCACTACTCGCAAGTATTATCACCTGCCCTATTTTGCACATATCCAGCCCCAGCTCCCAAGAAGTATATATTCGACGCAAAAACACAAGTGCAACTGCAGCTCTCGCTCGCTACGTCGGAGCGCCTCTCCCAGCGCCTCGCCACAGCCATCTTCAGGATACTCCTCAGCGTGCGTAATGCTAGCCTCTAATTGCTCATATGTTATCCTCCACCTGCTCATGTGTTATCCTCTAATTGCTCATATGTTATCCTCCACCTGCTCATGTGTTATCCTCTAATTGCTCATGTGTTATCCTCTAATTGCTCATGTGTTATCCTCCACCTGCTCATGTGTTATCCTCTAATTGCTCATGTGTTATCCTCCACCTGTTCATGTGCTATCCTCTACCTGTTCCAAGTTGAGGATGTTTAGTAGTCATGTCTACAATGTGCGTGTAGTATTGTTACCTGTAGTGATGTCTACAATACGCGTGTAGTATTGTTACCTGTAGTGATGTCTACAATACGCGTGTAGTATTGTTACCTGTAGTGATGTCTACAATGTGCGTATAGTATTGTTACCTGTACTGCTGTCTACAATAATCACTTAGTATTCTCACGTGATGTTGCCCTGACAGGAGAAGGTTGGCTACCAGAACGTAACACAAGTGAAGTACGAGAACTGGAGCGACGCCTCGCACTTCAACAGAGAGTGAGTTGTCCCTTACAGCTATTAATATAGTTTAGATTACGGCGTAACAAATTCAGCAGTTCAGCATATTTTTGAGCAAAACTCAAAAAGTAAAAATTTTAATCTCGGTTTTCTCACGTCCATTAATACAAAAAGTTGATTGAATATGCTACAAAAAATAATGTTAATTATGAACCGTGTGTAGTGTATAGGTGTGGTATAGGCATACGACATAAGTTTGTGGTTCATATGCATACATCGCATATGTCTATGTGTCTCAACCTTTACTATAGCGGTAATAAGGAATGTAAATTTTAATATTTCAGTAATCTGTCGATGATCAACCTGGAGGTGTGGATCCCGCCAGGATCTTTCGTCAACCTGGGACCGACGACCGTCAACTGCGGATCTCAGGGCTCCGGCGGCAGGTCAGAAACGACGTGAAATTTAGTATAAATGGAAATTCTTTGTATTCTCATAAAAATTTATCGAATTTACATCTTAAGGCACTAAAATTTACCTGAATATGTTTGCATTTACATCAAAACTCCTGACATTGACACAAAGCTGTTCGCATTCACATCAAAACTCTTCACCGCAGACTTTTCTACCTTCACGTCAAAACTATACACCTTCACATCAAAACTCATGTCATTCACCGCACACTCTTCTTTCTATTCACATCAAAACCCTTACCATGAACCCTGCCATGTTGCCCTGGCCCCCAGGTTCGGCTGGTACGTACGCAACGACAGCGACTTCAGCAGCCACGACCTCATAACGGACCACTGGCGCTCCTTCAGGAACCCTGCCGTCACGAGGCTCTTCGCGCTCCAGCCGCACGAGGAGGAGAGACTGCTCGACTACACGCATATCAATCACGAGTGAGTCAGGGTGACCCACTAATGTATTTCGGGGATAAATGTTAAGAATGTACATGTGTACATATTTGTCATCCTCGAGTGGGTCACGGTGACCCACTAGTGTATTTCGGGGATTAATGTTAAGAATGTACATGTGTACACATTTGTCATCCACGAGTGGGTCAGGGTGATCCGCTGGTGTATTTTTATGATAAATTTTCCTGGTAGTGTACATGTGTACGCACTCATCAACTGGGAGTGGGTCAGGGGTTATGGAATTGTGTTAACATGATGTGTTAACAGGAATTGAGGCGATACATGCATGATGCGTTACATGATGCTTTATAATATTTACATGCCCACACTCAAGCCACGAGTGAGTCCTAATGCCGACTATTTACTGTGGAATATTTCTTACTCATATATTTCGAAATTAACTTAATAATTAGAATATGATTTTGCAATATTCGGAATATCACAAGCATTACACTTGAGTGATTTACAAATTTGAAGTAATTGTTGAAGTAAAATGATGGCCAAAATAATCCACACAAATTATTCACTTCCTAAATAACTGCTATAAATACTAAGCCTTCCGCAAATTTTAAATTCACCTTTCCATTCATTCGGACGTGAAATAGTCAGGCTGCACCGAGCAGCTATAGCTTCAAATTCCGGTCACTGGCGCGGTGACCAAACGAAACATTTGGTTGACGGTCCGCTGTTGAAGGACGATTTACTGTAACGACGATGAGCGTCGTAGCCTCTCTTGTGGAAATTACGGCTGCCGCGATCAGGGAATGTTCTAGGGTAACGTCCTGGGATCGTCTTCGTTGCTCTAGATACTTTGCACGTCATGGTAGTATCCAGCCCTAGAGTTGTTTTTATCAAAAATCGTTAAAATTTCGAAACTTCATTAACATTTCATTGACGGCTTTAATACCAGTCTAAACCAACCATTCATAGTTGAAAAATTGCTGCTACGGGCAATTAGGTAGCTACGTGTAATTGGATCGCTACGTGTACTTGGGCTGCTACGTGTACTTGGACCGCTACGTGTACTTGGGCCGCTACGTGTACTTGGGCCGCTACATGTACTTGGGCCGCCACATGTACTCAGGCCACTACGTGTACTTGGGCCGCTACGTGTACTTGGGCCGCTACGTGTACTTGGGCCGCCACGTGTACGTGGGCCGCTACGTGTACTTGAGCCGCTACGTGTACCTAGGCTGCTACGTGTACTTGGGCCGCCACGTGTACGTGGGCCGCTACGTGTACTTGGGCCGCTACGTGTACTTGGGCCGCCACGTGTACTTGAGCCGCTAAAGCAAGCTGTGATACTGTAGTACGGCCCCTGGTGACGCCTGCAGTTGTGCACGAGGCGTTGTGTCGGTGTGGCCGCGATATTTCACGACTGATACTTCCTGTCTCCTGTCACTGTTTCCTTAAATATGTTGTGTATGTTCCTCGTGTTATTACTTTTCTCTCACTTATTTTATGTTCGTTCCTCAGGTATTTCTGCAGAAGTCCCAAGTGCAAGTCAGGAATCTTCACGCCCCCAGAATGCGAGAGTCGCAGCGACTGCGCAATGCTCTTCGTGGGCAAGTTCAGTGAGTGACTCAGTAGATCTTAGGTCTCAGTAGATCTTAGGTTTCAGTAGATCATAGGTCTCAGTGGATCTTAGGACTCAGTAGATCATAGGTCTCGGTGGATCTTAGGACTCAGTAGATCATATGTCTCGGTGGATCTTAGGACTCAGTAGATCATAGGTCTCAGTGGATCTTAGGACTCAGTAGATCTTTGGCATCAGTAGATCTTAAGACTCGATAGATCTTAGGACTCAGTAGATCTTTGGCCTCAGTAGATCTTGGTCTCAGTAGATCTTAGGTCTCATAGGTCTCAGTGGATCTTAGGTCTCAGTAGATCTTAGGTCTCAGTAGATCTTAGGTCTCAGTAGATCTTAGGTCTCAGTAGACCTTAGGTCTCAGTAGGTCTTAGGTCTCAGTAGATCTTAGGATCTTAGGTCTCAGTAGATCCTTTAACATAGGATTTCATCTACGCCATAGGGCGTAGGACATCATCGCTATGAGTGCATTGCTTGATTGTTTCCATACTGGAAATTATGTAAAGTCTAATTGACAAAATCTAATTTTTCCGCTCCAATACAATTCTTAGTGCGGACACACAAAATCTCCATAGTTGCTTCTGTCCTACTAACGCCTCTATTTTTTTATGTAAGTTTGCAAACTATGAATTTGTATTAGAATTCAATCAAATAAGTCTAGCTGTGATCACAGTTTGTTATCGGTATACAAATAAAGGAATAAAATAATAAGCATTTCGTTGGCAATGTCCAGTCGGCGGGAACATGAAAACTGCTGCGTATTTTGCGCCGCTAAAAAAACAATAACTGATCTTTGAGAAAAATTAAGAACCTAGATTTTTTAAATATTCTTTTAATATGAAGTCTGTGAAGTTCTGATACGAATAGCGTTGAAATTAAATACGTTAGCAGTGACAAATTATCGAAATTCGTTGCAGTGACAAATTATAACGTATTGTGACGTTACTAACGATGCGTTGTGCGTGGCAGACTTGTCTTCGCTTCTGATACGAATAGCGTTGAAATTAATTACGTTAGCAGTGACAAATTACATTGTATTGTGACGTTACTAACGCTGCGTCGTGCGTTGCAGACTCGTCTTCGTTCCTGGAGCAACAAGTGGTGAGCCAGCGGCTGCTGGTGCGCATCGCCTGGATTGGCCCAAACCTCACGCCGCACTTCATCAGGAACTTCAGGCCCAGCGACAAGGGCCTCATGTTCTTCAGCTGGTGGCCTGGGACGCTGTCCACCCTCAGGAACGTCCTGCCCGTGTCATTCCCGTCATGTGTCAGTAACGATGATGGCTCGCACGACGCTGACTTCAGCTGCAAGTATGAGCTGCACACGCTCGAGAAGCATGTCTGGGTCAGCATTAGGGAGACCGCGGCCATCGCGTATCAGGTGTGTTGCGAGGTGGCACACAGTGTCTTATAGTGTGTCTTGTGTTTGGTGTGTCATGTCTTATAGTGTGTTTTGTGTGCCGTGTCTTGTGCGTGGTGTGCCATGTTTTTTGTGGCATGTTGACTGGTGGTCTTGTTGTTTCCGGCGAGTCTTGTCTCATGTGACATGTGCTTTGAGTGAGTCACGTTAGTATTATTTTTCTATTTATTTTGGCATAATATTTTTCGTGTTGAGTGTGCGTGTCACACCTGCTGTGAGTCAAACATGCACTAGTTATGGTTTGACCTTACAATTGTACCTAAAGTATGACACTGTATGATTGTAATGTGTTGTGTGTCACGTGTTGGCTTGTGAACGACATGTGTTCCAGATATATGTGGGTTTGTATTTACATGATGTGAGTCATGTGTGTTCAGTCTCATATCAAATAGATGAACCAGAAATACTGTATATTGGTTGGTTAAGTCATGTTTAAAATGATAAATCCGTACCAGTTTAATCCTGGTAAGGTTTGCCTTTCATACAACTAGTCTTACGTAAGTTTTATAACGGTAAGAATGAGCAAACGGCCGAGCGCTTGCATCAAAACATCAGGTATAAGCTTAACCATATTGCATGCATTCATCAATAATAAGTGGAAGATCTGTATCAAATTATATCATGTAGACTACATTGTACATATTCATCAATAATGAGATTCGTATATTTAGGGTACCTTAGTTCTGAATACAAATGACATATTTTTCAATTAAACTTATCATTAATAAGTGAATGCTTTAACTGTTTAGACTGTGGAGCGCTTCCAGCTACGAGAACAAGACTACTACGACCTGCTCGAGCGCTACCGTCAGAGAACGGCTCCTACAACGCAGGACCTGCAGCCCCTGCAGTCGTACCAGGAGGGCTGGGATGACGATATTGTGGCGCAGGTGGCGTGTGAGTGGCTCAGGGAGGTGGACAAGGAGACCAACCTCAGCACCTTCACTCCCATGCACAACAACAAGAAGCCAGAGATCTGGATAGGCGGCATCTTCCCTATCAGCGAGGGGGCGCGATACTCCTGCAAGGAGCTGGTCTATGGTGCGTCGTCAGCGTGATAAATATATTATAATTTATTATCTGATAGATTACTTCGTAATTTCTTTGTAAATAAATGAAAATAAATTTATTTTTAATTGTTGTCTATATCCTGTCATGAACAAGTAAATTATGTCTATATCCTGTCATGAACAAGTAAAGAAGGTGAAATTATCTATATTTTTGGGTAAACTTTCCTGGTTCGTAATCATAAATTGTAAATGATTTTTCTGAGCGTTATGCAAAGCAATTGACAAATTGTATTTTTACTGAAAATCCGGCTGTAATTTTTTGCGACGAATTTGAGTCAATGTTATACATGCTTATGTTTCTTAATTCAGCTGCTTGACTAACTGTAATTAGAAACTTGTTGCTGACCGTTCATATACCCCGCGCCCTCTGAAATAATTTTTTCGACATCATTCTGCATGGTTTCTTCACTGATATTTCAGCTGCGATGATGGCGGTGAAGCGCATCAACGACAACCCCAGCATCCTGAACGACTACGAGTTCAAGTTGATCTCACGCGACGGCGCCTGCAGCAGCGAGAAGGTCTTGGGTCTCTTCATCGACTTCGTGACCAAGAGCTCGCAGGACTACAACCGACACTTCAACCAGATGGCCGGCATACTGGGTGCGTGGTACACTTCAACCAGATGGCCGGCATACTGGGTGCGTGGTACACTTCAACCAGATGGCCGGCATACTGGGTGGGTGGTACACTTCAACCAGATGGCCGGCATACTGGGTGGGTGGGCACCCCGAGCTGCTGCTGCTCATTATTGTCAGTGTACAACTGGTGATCGGTGCAGTGCATCACAGAAACCAATAATTTAGGAGCAAAGAAACTGTCAAGTAAATTCTTCATGTAGTCGTCGGAACGTTCCAGGGACAAGTTTCATCATGTACAATTAATAAAAACAGATAGAAATAAAAATTATAAATAGCAATCTCTGCGTATTTTTATTTTGAAAAAGTAGGGGACTTCTTCAGACTAGTTGCCCCGTCTCACTGTGAATGTGTTTTGGTACCTCGCTCATTTTTATGAACGGTCAGCTAGGTAACCTTGGGTACCTCGAGTTAATTTTTACTTTCTCATTACTAGCACTAATCTTTAATGAATTTGGCTTGATTAAGTAGATTCTTGAGCAGGACCGGCGTGCTCTGACACGGTCGAGCCTCTGGCGGGAGTTGTCCGCCACTTCCACACGGTCATCATCTCGTACGCTGCTGAGGGCGCCATCTTCAACGATGAGGTCAAGTACCCATACTTCTTCCGCACCATCCCGGAGAACATAATCTTCAGGTGAAACATGTTTGTACATTACGGCTGTTTTAACGTGATTCTTTTCTGGCGTTAAGGAAAACATCTTCCTGCAGATTTCTGAACTCACAGCATGACCTGCGTGAGCGTCCTGACAGATTTTGCTGACGCTCTTGCAAGGACAACTTCGAGGGAAAAGCGTCATAAAATACGTCGCTAACACCGCTGCGAATTTTGTTGAAAATAGGGAAATAGTTTTTACTAGCCGAAAATCGACAAGTTTCTTCAGTAGCATCTTAGAACTACTATATAAAACTCAAATATTATAAAAGCGATTCAAAATTTATTTCGCATGCATTATAAATTACTCGTGCACCAACCTAAGTGCGCCTGAACTAGCGACTGATGTAAAATTCCTCTTTTTCCCCTCGTATTTACATGCACTACCGCACATACGTCTCAGCCAATAACTGACGTTAAATCCATATTTTTGTACTCTTGCATTTACAGGTACGTGTACCTGAACCATTGTCTGACATTGTATGCTTCTTTTTACCACTCTTGCACTTACAGGTACGTGTACCTGAACCATTATCTGACATTATATGCTTTTTACCACTCTTGCACTTACAGGTACGTGTACCTGAACCTGTTCAAGATGAACAACTGGAAGAGGATCGCGTCGCTGACGCAGACCGGTAACAAGTACAGCGAGTACCTGACCAGCCTGCTGGACACCTTACAACCCGAAGGCGTTTTCCTGGACAACCACAAGTTCTCGGGGGAGGCCACCGACATGGCTAAGGTGAGCTGGCCATTATGTCCTTCACCATTCATTAACTTAAATAGACCAAGACCCTTCAGAACATTAATGTCTACATATAATAAATAAGGTAAGAAGAGCAAATACCTCATCATTATCCAATTCCTCTTGTTTTACTTTCTTCACCTGGAGTATAGCAGGTAATGAAAATGAATTTGATCGACTCGTCGATCTATAATCCAATTAACATGCTTTTATCCTCAAACTCTGCATGACAAAGATATTAAAAGTGAAGCGGGAGTATCGTAAAATATAAGGAAATTCAACCCTTTTATTAGAGGGCAATTTTCTGCGAGAGTATATATTGAATTTGTGAAAGAAACACTTTTTAATTTCATTTACTTAATGTAAAATTTCTCCTACGAGGAGAAAACTTTTTTCCGTCGTGTCTTCTTTGGTACCCGCCGCGGTGGTCGCTCATCCGTTGAAGTTTGACTACGTCGCTCATTCTTATACGCAATTACAGAGAAGAATCAATCCTTTGAAATCCTATTAAGGATTGTAAGAGAATCCATTTGGATCTTTTCACATAATCCTTCAGATACTCATAAGGATTTTGTGTAATGCTGCGCCTGATGTTACAGTACCTAACTCGGCTCAAGGACCACAACTTCCGCATCATCATCGGCGACTTCTATGACGGCATCGCGCGCAAGGTGATGTGCGAGGCGTACCATCAGAACATGACCGCTCGGCATGGTTATGTGTGGTTCCTACCGCGCTGGTTCACCAAGGAATGGTACCTGCGCAACGAAACTGGCGCCGTCAAATGCTCTGTCAGGCAAATCATGGAGGTACGGGTGAAATATTAGAATTGAATGCTCAATCTATAATTAAAGGTCTCTATGTTTGTATGAAATGGTTTTACAAGCCGCAATACCCGTGTACTAAGTCACCTTTTACCATGTACTTGAACTGTTAAGAGAACTCGGTTGGTCCCTGTCCCAAACGGTTTTTTACCACGTTTTTCTTAGCTCGCTTTCGTGTCCGTCTGTCTGTCTGTCTGTCTGTCTGTTTGTGATGATCAAATCTTGCAATCGATATTTCACCAACTTTCCCGCTAGCTAGCGCTCTGAAACTTTTAGGGAAGCTCAGCTCCCGATGACAATACATTAAACAATAATTTGTTGCACGTTTCCAGGCGTATTTATCACTATTATAAACAAATTAATTTTCGAAGTGGAAATTTGTTTTCCTTTAATCGATCGCAGCGCCATTCCCCCTAAAGCGGCGATTTTCAGAACTAACAAACGCGGTTAATTCTCGCACGTGTGACGGACATTAACATTTGAGAACGCGCGGAGTGAAACGACTATACTGTATGGACTTTATAAATTTTTGTTTGAACCGTTGAAATAAATAAACCATAAGCTAAATTTATAAGTACTTAGAAAAGTTGTGTTGTTCTTATTCTTTATAAAAAGGAAATTGAAATTTCGATTGCAAGATTTGATCAGCTCAAGCATACAAACTAACATAAAACTAAAAAGTAGAATATAAAATGTATAAAAAAAATTTTAAAGACCACGTTTTTCATGTGGACTAAAAAGTAGAAAATAATTTTTCGGCTGCTACTGATCTCTGTTTGCTTTCATTCTCTTGGTCTTTTGTATTTCAGTTAAAATATTTTACAACATCTAAAACAAAAAACGTGGGGCGCATCTTCATTTAGGCATGCCTTAATTTCAATTTTGAATTCAACCACTATTTCGAATTTCTCTATCACTATTCGTTACTCCATATACCTTTGATTTGATAGTGAGCTATTTAGTGGTGAACTATTTAGATACTTAATGCATTTTCTTTTCAAATGTCTTAATATGCCTCTTAAATTGATAAGATATAGTCCACGCGTTCATTTAAAATTCTCAAAATTTGATTCTTTTAAAATTTTCACATACCCTGACCTGCGTAAAGGCCCGTTCACACTAGGGGCAACACCCGAGAATCAAGTGCCTCAAAGCGCATGCAGAGGCGCTTTGCAGCCTCTGCATGCGCTTCTTGACCGATTGACGAGCTAGCGATTGACAGGGGCCATGCCTCATGCAACACAAGCGCGGCGCTTAGTAGATAGCTAAAAGAATTGATATCAATTGTATGCTTAAATCGCAAATTAACTAAGAATTTAAATTAAATTAAAAATTTAAATCAAATTAAAAATGTAAATTAATTAATTAAAGAAATTCAATTCGTTCTATGGTTTCAATGTATTAATTTGTGACTCTAGATTCTACGAACTGACGATGGAGCTGGTCTCCGAAACGTTTTCTATAAAGATATGAATTTTTGTGGATTATTCTTTGCTTTTAAATTCTTAGTTAGTAGATAGCTGTCTGTGGTCTAGTAAGGTTGATTGTGTACGCTGGTCCGGCACACCAAATGTCGACTAAAACACCACTCTCGTTTGGAGTCACTCTAGTAGAGAGCCTAATTGATCTTTATAGAGAAAATGAATGCTTATGGAGTGTTCGGTCAAAGGAGTACAAAAATCGAAATGCAAATGATGTAAGTTATTTTTACATGACGTGTTTAGTTTATGTTATTTTAGCAACTCCTGACAATTTGTGCATTGCCGTTTAGCAATTTCAAAGGATGATATAATATTGGTACGAAAATTGGAACTTTTTATTTAAGAATAGACTATATTTTTCATAAACTGTATCTTTTGAATGTGCTAATTCTCTAATTATGATGCCTATGCTAAATTCTCGTTTACAACTGGCATAGTGCGAAGAATGACGGACCGCAGCACACCCGACAACAATGGCCCACAGCTCAAATTCGGCTACATCCATGCTCATTGACGTCTAGGTGGCAACTAGTGTTAAAAGCGCGCGGTCTCAAACTACCAAGTACAAAAGTAGTGTGAACGGTTGTGCGCGGTGAGGCACTGCAGCAAACGACTCAAAGCGCATGTCGTTGCCACTAGTGTAAACGGGCCTTTATTCGTGATTCATATCTTTACTTGCTTGAATTACTTATACACATTTCAAACTACCTATATTGGATTAAACATGATAAATCAATATACCAACAGTAAATAACAAAATTTGCTCAAATCAGATATATCAGCAATACACCTATCAAATGTTCAATGAACCATCATATTCATCATATCAAGTAATCACCAAACAATTAAATACATATGCGCCCCACGTTTTTCGTTTAGATGTTGTAAAATATTTTAACTGAAATACAAAAGACCAAGAGAATGAAAGCAAACAGAGATCAGTAGCTGCCGAAAAATTATTTTCTACTTTTTAGTCCACATGAAAAACGTGGTCTTTAAAAATTTTTTTATACATTTTATAGCAGATTGCCTGCGCGATCAATTTCTTTGATATAGGCTCTTACATACAATGAGGCTGTTACCATCGCCTGGTAATTCGATTTTACATACACCGAGGCTGTTACCATCGCTTGTTACTTCACTCTTACACACAATGAGACTCGTACCCTGTACTAGGCCCTAGACGGCCACCTGTCCCTGGGCTACGCATACTTCGCGTCTGACGACACCGTCTACCACGAGAACATCACCGTACGGCAGTGGCGGGAGGAGTTGAGTAAAACCTTCGGGCTGATGGACCGCATCCCCGACTACGCGGGCTACACTTACGACGCCGTCTGGACCTACGCATTCGCGCTCGACAAACTCCTCGCGGAGAACCTTACGCATTACGCAGACCTGCACAGCATCGGCACAAACCAGTGAGTGCGGTCAATTTTACGTGATAACTTAGTACAGAATTCACTTGTTTACTGTTGATGACTCATTAATTCACCATAGATTCATTTATCCGTTATTGACGCCTCATTTAGTCACTATTGATTATTTTTTAAATCGATAAAATGTTTGATAATCATGAATTGATCCTGGTTTGGGATAATAATGATCAAGTTCTACTGCAGAAAAATTTGGCATCAACGCGAAAGGAATGAACAAAACGGGCTTCATTTGGCGGTCCAGAAAATTGCTCATGGCCGTAACCGAAATGTAAATATTACAGCTTGCTATATTTGGCAGGCGTTACGTGGAGATATTGCGGCAGACGAACTTCAGCGGTGTGTCGGGGAACCTGAACTTCAATGGCGGCGGTTCGAGCAAGAAGGTAGCGGTTCACCTCATGCAGGTTCGCCTCGAGGAGAACCAGATGGTCTACAAGCGTGTGGGGGGCTACGAACCTGAAGGCGACGTGGGCCGGTGGGTCATAATCATAATCATTGTCATTATTATTATGATAATGGGGTTAAAAACTTTTCTCACTTCAATAGACACTTTAATTTGAATTTCCGTTCCTATACTATATTTAGTCATCAACTATGAGAATTAATAATAATAAGTATTAATAATAATAAATAAAAATAGTAACTGTATCTGCATCGAAGCTTAGGCCATTAGGCCTGTCGCCAAATCTTAACATTGCAGAATTTTCACAGCTGCTGCGGGTCTCGAACACGCAACTCACTGTTCCAGTAAGTGCTAAAAAAATAGCTAAATCGATAGACTACCTTGCCGATTTCGATCAGAATCTTACATGGTCGGCTGATGGTTTCGAACCCATACCTCATGCTTAAATTTTGGCGCTCGAACTGTAATGGCTCGGCCACCTTGCCGAGCGATTAAAGTTAAAGATCCCTTCAAACCCATATATCACTTAGAAGATGGGACTCCCATATTACTCGTCTTAAAATAAATAAAAATATGATAATTCTTGCGTCTTTCAAATTAAAGTATATTCAAATAACTAATCGGCTGCTAGGTGGAACATATTGGCGATGTCTACCATCCATCTTTTTACCCAGGAATATTCGATTTTCGAATTCGAAACTCGGGAAACGATTTTCTATTAACAATTGAAAAAGAAAATTAGCCATAGATAAATTGAAATGCGCATGACAGAACAAATTGACGAGTTATTCGAATTCATTTTTTTTTAATTCTGCATTAGGCGTCCGCAAACAACAGTATCCAAAGGGATTAATTATCAAATTTCGAAGAATATTCCAAATTTGTCAGATAAAGCTGCGGTATCAACAATACCAAGGAGTATATCCGTCAGACTTTCGGGACAGTTTGAAAATTTGACTTCATTCGAAAACTTAGTCTAGCAAGGCGTCTGGCAACATGCGATGCGGAACTTCAGGAAGCAAATCTTCAACATCAAAGAGCAAATGCAGCTCTGCGCGGTCAGGGGAAGAAAGTACTACTTTCTTCTACTACTACTTTAATACGGATTTACGGATTGAAAAATCAATGGCAATTTCGATCCAATTTTTCCCTCCAATCCTTTCCTATTCTCCACTAAGTACGAGTTTCCAGGAGGCGGTAATATCCCGATTCGCTAAGCATAGATTTGCTCCCATGCAAATAGGCTGGCAACTTGTAATTCTACAATAAACTCGTAAATTTTTTCCTTTCTGAAGAACTATGAATAATTGTTCGTTATTTGTGTGCCAGTTTGAAGATAGTGGAGCCCATCGTGTGGCTGACTGAGGGAGGGGTGGTGCCCAGCGATGGCTCCACGCTCTGCTGGCTCTCCTTCATCAGCGAGCCACTCGACATAACATGCGAGGCCGCCATCGTCATGGTCATGTTCACGGGCTTCGGCATCTTTGCCGCCATCCTCGTCGTGCTCTTCATCGTCTACAAGAGGAGGTTAGTATGGATATTTTTGTGATCATTCTTTACTCGTTTCGTTCGAAACTCGTATCCTGAGAAACGATTGGAAGGGCTTTCATTTTTTTCGTTATGCTTGCTACTAAAATAATACAGTGACTTGTGTCAGTAATGCTACAACGCTGTCTTCAAGGGACATTTATTTATATTCGTTTTATTATACTCAGTTTCGATTCTAAAGTTGAAAAAGTAAATTAATGAAATCCGTGGCCGCATTCATGCCAGTTGAAACCCGCTCGTTCGCTGCAGAAAACTTGACATTTCCTACACTTTCCTAAATGGGTCACACTTTATTCAAATAGCGATGCAATTTACGCTCTTGTGTGGGCCATCCTGACCCAGTTTGGCGCAGCAAAACGGTGTACCAGGGCTATGTCAGTTCTCTCAAGCTCGTGCGGTGAGAGTAAGAATGTGTGTATTTGGACAATATTACCCATTGATTTTTCCAAGTGTAATACAACTTCGCGTCGCAAGCCTGCTCCTTGTTTCCATGGCCTGAACTTGTCCTCTGACGCCGCAGGATCGAGAAGCTGCGAGCGCCGCTGCTGTGGCCAAAGCTTCAAGAGTGCGAGATTCCGCGCGAGAAAATCGTCATGAACCGCACCATCGGACAGGGGCAGTTCGGCACCGTCTACGGCGGGGAGGTGGGCGGGTGGTGAAGTCTGGGGGGTTTTCTTTCAACCTTCTATTGCCCAAGAGAAAGCAGTTCGCTTGGAAATAACTAAATTTTTTATTAGTTTTGACCAATACTCGGAAAATGTATGTATTTTTATAAAAGTTGTTACCAAGAATTTTTGGTGATGAAGTTTCAACGAACAGGTGGAGAACTCAGACGGCGTGTGGGTGGCTGCAGCCATCAAGACTCTCAAGGTTGGCTCGACGGACGAGGACAAACTTGACTTCCTAGAGGAGGCCAAAGTCATGAGGATGTTCGACCATCCGAACATAGTGAAACTCCTCGCCCTGTGCTGCGACAAGCAACCTATACTCATGGTTATGGAGTTCATGCTACATGGTAAGACTTTAGTGATGGTCTTGGAGTGCATGGTTGAGGTCATGGTCATGCTTATGGTTATGGAGATTATGCTGCATGGTTACTTCGAGCTAATTCTTTAGACTGCGTGGTTATTACCATCGTCACACTCGTGGTCAGTGAGTTCTTTGTCATGTTAATGCATAGTCATGTTCACATTGTACAGACTACGGTTTTCGAAGAATGCTTTACCAGGCCTCTCGCGGGGCCAAACGCCCCAATGATCTTTAACCCCAATGACGGTCTTTGCCCCATCACGACCCTTTAATGACCCTCTAATGGCCCCCGTTGACTTTTATCTGTTCCTGGCGCCCCATTAACCCTCCGATGACCCTCTATGCCTACATGGCCCTTAGTAACTCCTCAATGACCTCTAATGACCTGAAGGTGTATCTGTATACCCTATAACCCTCCATGACCCCTTAATGACTCTCTATGACCCCCCAATAACCCCCCAGGTGACCTGAAGGTGTTCCTGTAGACCCTATAACACTCCATGACCCCTTAATGTTAGTGTGCGTGTTGTATAGTGATGTGGTACGAAGAAATATGTTCATAGGTAATGCATGGAAAGTAAATTGTATTGCTATGTCTATAGGTAATAATGTGCTTGTTGCGCAGTGCTGTGGTGTCTGCAGAGAGTAGGTATTTAAATACTGTAACAACTCAAATAAAATTCAAAACATTAGTGATTTTGCACCGACACTGCTTAATCTGAATCATTTGTTTCTCATCAAAACTCCGCTTAATAACTGAAGATCTCCGGGAATTAATATTTATGCTCAACCAGGACGTGACAATTTTGCGTCCTCTCAGGGACGTGGCGTGCCGCAATTGTCTCGTCAGGGACGACTTGGTTGTGAAGCTCAGCGACTTCGGCATGGCACGTCAGATCTACCACAGCAACTACTATAGGTTCAACCGCAAAGGTGAGCACGCGATATCATCACGTGCTCACAAAGCTTCGGGTAATGGCTTTCGGGTAATCCAGCTTTATGCTTGATTACAATCTGTAGGGGTTTAAAAATCTTCATGGGATTATCAGACGTGTGTTTATGGCCAATTGCATGCTGCGATGTATGATTTTTGAACAATTAAACACAAGTAATTTGTATGTTTTTTTTTGCAGCTAATACGCATCCAAGTACAAATATTGGCTGGTAGTTACGCAGGTTTTAAGAGCAGATTTTAAAGACTTGGGTGCTCTGAGTGACGGTTGATTAAGACTTGAGTGCTCTGAGTGACGGTTGAGTAAGACTCAAGAATGCTTTAAGTGATAATCATTGATTATCAATAATCCCGTCGCGTGCAGCCATGTTGCCGGTGCGGTGGATGGCGCCAGAGAGCCTCGAGGACGGCCTCTTCACGACGGCGTCGGACGTGTGGTCGTATGGCGTGCTGCTCTACGAGATCATCACTTACGCTAACTGCCCCTTCCATGTCAGAATTACTCTTAAAGAATGATCAATAACACACATTTTTGTTTTGAGGATTTTATTTTTTTAGGAATTTAAGATCATTACTTTCAGTAACTGCCTCTTTCATATCTAACTACAGATACAGAAAAACTCAATAATACGCATTATTGTTTTTTGGAATATGTCTTTCATCTATTGGTGATCTTTTATATTTATGTTTAGTGATTCATTAACACTGTAATCTTATACAGTTTTAATTATTATCAATGAGAATTAAATTTCATTACCGATTTTTTGTCATACTGGTTCACTAACATTGACCGGCTTGAGTACCGGATAAGCAGTGACTTAGGAAACAGTTGTTATCGTAACTTAATAACATATATGTGACCAGAAGGTCATATATATGTTAGTAACAATGCTGAATATAGTTTTATTTGCCAGGACTTGTCTAGCAGCCAGGTGGTCGAGAGCGTGAAGAGAGGCAACACCATCCCAATACCCATCGATGCTTCCACAGGAGTGTGAGTGGCAAGCGTCTAATAGAGCCGCACGCATGCTTAGGATAACACAAAGTTCCCTAATTCGAGTTCTTGTCTAGCTCAGTTCAAAAAGTTTTCAGTCAAGTTCTATTTACAGTTCTGGACACGCGGTGCTAGGTAGTTTAGTTTGACAGTTCAAAGTTTTTTCATTATTTTCGTTTAGGAGCACTTTTATCATTTATTTTCTTCAAGATTATAATTTTTTTGAACCATGTTTGTCTGTTCTCTTCGTATATGTTAAATGTACCTACATTCTAACGAAAGTAACCCTTTCATGAAAAGCTCAGTTAAGTTCACGGCTCTAAATCGTCAAGTCTCTGCGTGTGTATGGTGACATCATACAACAATATTTACATTTTTTCAAAATGAGATAAAACAGGAAATCTTGATGTTTTCAAAGGGTGCTCAACAATGAACTGACAATGGCAATGCATTGCAAGTTCTTGGTTTTAGTTACTGAACATTTGAAAAAATTGGCCTTCAGTACAAAACACTTGAAGTCTGTGAAGTTCTCCCTCGGTTGGAGGTTAATGATAACGCAATCAAATTATCTGCTCGTGTATGTGGTATCTGACGACCGCTTGTGCGTCCAGCCGTGACACTGATTTATATAAGTTCACATTTAACACTGATTTGCTCAAGTTTCTTTGGTATGACCATTTCATGCCCAAATTTTTTGATGGAAGTGTTCGCCATGTTCATCGCAAAATGCACCACTGTTTTCTGAATAGACTTTCAAGTGTGAATGCAAGAAGTGTATCTTCGAAGACGTGTCTAAACGAAAAAAAAATAGAATTCCTTTAAGGATCACAAATGATCCTGATGATTTTTGGCTTTATGTATGCCAAGCACATTTATGGTTACTTGAGCGAAAGAATACGAGGTTAGATTCTCGTTTCGATCTTATTGAAATGTTAATTCTTAAATAATTTTAATGTCCGTGGACTAACGAGTCCTCTTGTATTTGGCTGCTCTTTGGCTCAAAATTTTCGACAGGGGTACACAAATCTTTATCCGGTTTTATCCATCGTTTGTGAGGAGTTTTCATTAAACCCATTTTAACCTGACGAGGACATAATATTCCGTGATTCTACGAGTGGTTCTCATGTAGTTGCTAATGTTCTAGGCTGAAGCATTTGCAGCGCAAGCCGATCCTTCTGTCTAGTGAAGTGCCCTTGCGCGGTATTCTCATGAACACAACATGAACTGAACATACGGTTTTTTCTAAAATAAATTTCATGGTCGCTATTGTCATCAGCATGATCGATTTAGTGTTGAACAATTCACATTGTTATTTCCCCTGTAAGCTAGCGTAATGTACGTATTGTTGCGAGCAGGAAGTCTCTACTTCAGTGGTGTTGGCGGAAGGACCCCGACCAGCGCATCACGTTTGGCCACATCATCAAAATCCTCACCGAAAACCCAACGATGTTGTCCCCTTGCCTGGACGTGCCGAGCGCCTCCGTGGAGAAGACGGATGACGGACACTCTGGTCCAAATTTCCGTAAAATGTCAGGTCCGGGTCGTCCCATTGCCAGTGGGAGCAGCAACATCCGCCCTCGCACCACCTCCCCTTGCGACTCCCTGTCAGGAGTGCACGGCGCGACTCCCGTGAGTCCGTTGATGGAAACCGAGGCTGAAAATGGAGAATTCAAGTCCGTATCTTCGCAACCCTTTTACAAAATTTCCAACCTGGACAACGGGCATAGGCAGAGAAGCGCTCCTGCCTTAGAACCTCTCCTGCCTAATAATAACTTTGTAACTCGGTACGCCCTCATACAGAGAACCAGGTCTCCAGACCTCGCGTCCTTGGAGCGCTCGCCCACTGAACTGTCCGCCGTCTGAGCGTTTAATGAATTCCACCCGTGCGGACGGAGCTGGGTGCAGACTTAAGACTGTGTGGTACTGAGCATGAACTCTCAATAGGGCTCTCTTGGCAGTCCTACGTTCTAGGTACTCATACAATTTGTCAGACATTGTAAGTAAAATTACTCTTATTAAGTTATTCAAGTTACTAAGTGACACAAGTCTCAGTTATAAGCAACTCTGACCGGTTTTTCAGTAACGCTTATACATTCGGCGAACTATTCCGGACAAATTATCTCTGCAAGCTCGTCCGAATGAGATTCCTATCACGAAGAATCAAATGACTATAAAATAAATTGGGTATGAAGCACTCGTGAACAAGCAAGCCTAAAGCAACTAATGCTGATGTGAGTTCAGAGTTCTAAAGTATTTATTAACAATTTCCCTACGCGATCAATTTTATTTCTCTTCTTCAGCCGAATCGGTTCATAAAATGTGGATTAACAGTGAAATTTTACCAAGCTTGATCAAGGTTCACGTGTCACCATTGATGACTCGTATTTTTTATAACACCTAATGAGGGTCTAGCAAGCGAGAAGTTGAAGGGAAATTGAAATGAAGTTCGCTTATCCAGTTGAGAAGGTGTGCGTTGAAACTTCCTTTTTCTTGTACATTGAGCTGCGAAACGAGGCTCTTGATAAGACCTTGTATTACGTTGCACTAAGTAATTTCTCTGTTCAGCAATACATGTAATAATGTGTGGTTTGTATTCATGTTCTGTGTAGCGCTTGTGCTAAACATGTTCTGGCGCTAGGGCAGCTTCGCCTGTGCTTATAACTCGTTCAGCTTTTGGCTTAATGAAAGGGATTCTTTCAGTTTACTTAGTCTGTGCAATAATTTATTGTGTTAGTGAATGAAAGAAACATCCGAAGAGCAACTCCTAAGAATAGTTGAAGAGCAACTCCTTAAAGGCACTATTCCCTGTGCAGTTTCTAAGACATTTCCTCACATATGGAAGGGGGGTGGCATGTGGTTAACATAACCATGGTTGCAGCAACGAGATTCGGGGTAAGGGAACCGCTGAGATAATAACTATATTGATAGATATAGTTATTATTTATAACTATATCTATTAACTATAGTTAATACATTTTATATTAACTAACTATAACTATATTAATAGATGATTTTCCATTATGAAAGAATTCCCAGCTATTTTACATGGGGAGTTTATATAGATAAGTTAGTGATCAATTTATGCCTGTCAACGTAATACCTCAACATGCCTGGAAGTTATTGACAGAAACTGTAGTGTTTTAGATGATATTTCCCTCCGGTGCTTCTGTGACAGACCGACGGACCTTCAAGTCCCGAGTCTGTCATATCCATTCTAGTCTGCGGTGCAAAAATTCAGCTCGAACCCTAGCGCGATTGTGACCGTTTCCTGCCAGATAGCAATTGTTTTCATACAGAATCGTTGATGTAGTTAAATAACTCCCATCGAGCTATTTTTGTTACTTGTGGACGCAACAATTAGGAGGCCATCTGCGTATTTGTAGTAATTGTTTTAGAGTAACGTTCAATTTTGTGTGTGATGTTCATTAGATGTAATTTGGAAATGAATTTGTGGTTCGTGTTTTATTGACGATATTTTGTGCTTGTAACCAAAGACGCTGAACGATGCTCTACTGAGAACGTTCTCCGCCGGCCTCGGCCTCTTTATGTCAATTCTCAACTGCTGATGAATCTATTCTATTAATCGTGGACTCATTTATTCAAGTAATTCAAACCGTATTAAATATTTTATACATGATGTAAATTTTCTGTAGAACAAATGATCTGTTTTGAACTGTGTAATCAAAAGCTCGACGATACCGAAGATGGTCTCATGGCAGTCATAGTTCGCATGTATAATTCTCTAGTTCTAAGAAGCGTTATTTTTGTAATTTTACTATATCAAATCGCTCAACCAGGAGTCGTAAAGGTTTAATTTACATATTGAATCGCTGTCGTTCTGTTAAGAATCGTGGAGAAAACTTGTGCCACGCAACCGAATAGTTTTTACACTCTTGAGTTCTTCGGTTATGACCGAGGCACATTACGCTCTTCTTCTAATATGACGGTATATATTAACTCCGTGAGCTTCATGATCTACAGCACAGACTTATTTCTGACTTTTTACCGGAGCTAGAGTGGATATGTGTTAAATTATTTTATACGTGGCCGGATTTAGCCGTCACCACCCAGCAGTCATGCGGCATTTTAAACCGTAATGCCTTCAAATTTTTGGCCTATCAATTTTGCCTGGTGGATCTACGTTATCGCAGTCATTTTTGATTCAATGATTATGCTTAGTTGTCCGCTCAGAGGACTGCAAACAAAGAAATTTGTTGAAATAATGCCTTAGGGTCTCGTGGGAGATTTGTAATATTGAAGCGTGCAATAAAATGGTCGATTAGTTGAGCATGGTTCGGTGCCTATTGTGGTTGGGTTTTCTCCAAATTTGTATGTATATATACAAAATGAAAAACGTGCGAACTTTCTGTTATGCACTGCACTATTTTTATGATGTAACTAATATTTCCTAATCTCTACTGTTAACTAGGTGAATTAGATTTATTCTTCGTGAGTTTTCATTCAATGCACGTAACGAATTCTCGTTGCGTACACTAATCTAATGGCTAATATAAGTAATGAATTGGAAACATTGTGACATTTTTCATTAAGTTTAAAGTCATTAATGTCACCTTTTCTTGAACGCGAAGTTTAGAATGCTGTTCACGCACGATATGCTCACGTTTGAAACATGCCAAGTTAAGTGTCGCCTGTGAACATTCTGGACTGCGTTCCGTGTACTGCTGTGTACTGTGATGGCTACTTGTACAGTTTCTGTACAAGTAGCCATCAGATTATTAAGCGTTGCTGTTAGGTTTGAGGACTTGCCGCTGCAAATAATATTCTAAACGCGCATGAGTCCTCCGCGTAAAGAACTAATATTTGCGTAGGGAACTTTTAAATTTTATTTAAAGCTGATGGAAACACTTTCAAATTCCGTCAGGTCGACTTGTCATATTGTAGATTAATTTTTTCAATTGACGAACGGTGCTGGAATAGGTCATTATTAGCACTCGCTGCTCACACGACCCGAAACTGTGCCAGACTTTTCATTTAAGTACAACAATTTCTAGAAGTACAATCTAATATATTTCTTGTTGAAGACGTAACACTACGTAGCATTACCGACTTGGTAGCAGTGATTAATTACATGTAATTAAGGTCGAATAATAAAATACTTTTTACCGAATTAGACTCCGCAAAGTGTCTTACCTACGAGATTAGGTCTATAGTTCATAGCGTAGTCTGGGTCCCGTACTCGACAGTTATTAGGTTGGTCGTCGGTTTCATGATGATTGCCAGGCCGGGTCTACTCTGGCCCGTTAGGGTCTATGTGGCCCGCTAGGGTCACAGTAAACGTCTATTTTTTCGCCTGATGGACCTACAATGATGGTTAACTTATTGAAAAATTAGTTGGTGGTTAACCTACGGTGTCATAATTTTTGATTCTACAATACCTGGACTCTGGCTTGCGTCCGGCATTTATAATGCGACGTGAAGCTAAATAAGATAACGTTTGGCAGGACTCACCTCAATACTTGCTTTCATTTCATTTTGTTTTCTGATCATGCTGCATTGTTGAAATTATTTTGTTAGGTTTATGTCGCAGGATTTGGTGATATTCTTCTCATTATTATTGGAAAGATTTATGCTGCCCGTAGATAGTTCAGAAAAAGTTTAGTGTGCACTTCTAGTGCCAATTGCTTGGTGCTGTTATAATTAATAATAAATGGAGTGTCTGCCAAGGCCATGTGTTGTATGGTGCCGCATGAAAAGTGAATTAGTGTTCCAATATTTTGCATAAAACATATAAATCAAAATACGTTTATTGTGCTCCAGCTGGGCGCAACGTATCGCTCAAGTAAATATATGTTATTTTCGTAAAATTGTGTAGTATTTTTTCGATGTTCCACGATATTTTTGTGTTTTAATTAGACATGATTTTTATAAACATTTCACATTTTCATACTCGGTACGTATTTGCACTGAGGTGAAACTATATTTATTAAAATAATATATAGTTATCGCAATATTTTTAGGTAGATGTGCGAAACAGAAGGTGTCAGGATGCCGGTATCGTTGTGATTTTTGTATATTATAACTTCCACTATGTAGGAAAAAAAGCGGCAACCACACTCGATGTGAAGCGATCTTCAGGAGATAGGCAAGTGGAAAAATGTGTGGGATTTATTACTTTAATTGTATGTGAATTGATATCACTTAAAATCTACAATTAACTAAAAAAATATGGAGATCAGTGTTGTTTCGTGACTGAAAAATAACTTAGTATGTATGATCGATCTATTGATCTGGTGTAAACCGGTGAAGATATCCGGATATTTCGGATTCTCGTGTGTGTTTGTAGACGCAGTGCTAGTGTCAGGTGTGCAGCTTCTTTCCATTGTCATTGCGTTGTGCAGTGTATTCATTTGCTCAAAAGTGTGTAGAGGTAGTCGAATACAGTCGGTATACAGCATAATAATCGAAATGATTGTGGTGCTTTAAAACTCGTGTAACAAATGCGTCTACGTTTAGAAACCTCTGCTCTGAGTTTTTATTATAAAATTATTGACCGTGTTTTTTCATTTATTTTTCCTAAAGAAGGAACGTTCACTGTCGGAAAAACTACGGTTCCAGTACGGTTGAGGATATTAGCAAATAATGAATTTGAGATAGTCGCAACTCATTGTTCTCGTATTCAAGGAAGATTTTTTGCTACGTTATTTTCTAGCTTATCCTAAAATGCACATTAGAACATTCCGACTGAATTTCATTTGTATAGATTGCGAATTGACGAGATGAACGTGCTTCAGTTGAACAAACTACTCATTTTCCCGTTTTGATTTATAAATGTGGAGCGACCAATTTGGGGAAAAATACGTATTATAGTGTATTGGGCATTTAAGCGAATAGATTGAAGATAATTAGGAATAACTGGAATTCGATGGAACTGGATGTGCTCTAGCGCTCTAGATGACAAGTTTTATTTATCGTTGGCAACTTGGCAATTGCTTGCGTATCGGCCTGCGATGATGCTCACTCACTTTTGTCGGTGTGAGAATATGCTTTAGGTTCTAAATTTTAAAAGTTTATTATTTCATTCCTAAATTGAAAGGTGAAGATTATTCGATCGAGGCATACAAACAAATCGACAGATAAGCACGTTTATTTAGGTAATAAACAATATTCATAGTATTCATTCATAAGAAAACGTTTCATCTGTAAATTTGGACATTTTATTCTATGTCTCATTTGAGCCATTAAATTCACAATTATTTTATTTTACTCACATAAAATCCAATAATAATTCTTATTTTATGGCACCATAAAAACGGTCTGGCAATTTTAGCACATCAGGAAATGACTTGCTTCGTTCGACGCTATCAGTAGAAGTTTGGTGCTAGAATTTTCAATCATGGCTTCTGGAATGCTCGTCGAAAGACCCGGGGATGTGAAGTTTCAACGATTGGATGTTGATTCACTCATTAATAGAGGTTAGTAATCGTTGGAAACATTTAGAGTCAGTCGTATTTTTTAGGATTATTTATAAATGAAAACGTTACTTCTAGGTTAGTAGATAGAAGTCTCTGTGATTTGGTATTCGACATCGAAATGTTTTTCTGAAACCTGATTAGTGGTTAGTTTACCGGAATCGAGATCAATTTTGTCGAACGTACAACAAAAGTAAGTGCGTGTTTATTTTTAAGAAACATAATATTGTGCAATAGCTGTGTAAGGCTGTGTTATTATACCAGATGGTCAATGAGGATGAGGTGACTGAGGTCATCGGCCAGGTTTCTTCCAGACCATTCTCAATTCACCTTTTTTTTGGACGGTATGGCATCTGTTGTGTTTACCATGATTCGTATGGCATTTATATGCCGGTATGATGAATATTTCAAGTGTTCATGAAATAAATGCTATAAACATCTCTTTTGTAGATTTAAAAAAATGGTGCCAATCAGCCAATGTAAATGTTGTTTATTATTGTACCTATTTTTTAGTTTAAACAACGACTTACATTCTCACAAGTCCTACAACTTAAAACTTTACAAGCATGTGTATGCAGTGTGCTCCCTGTTCTGTCACTGCTGTGACTTAATTTTTAAGCCAAGATTGTATTGAATTTTTAGTCACCAAGAAGAAAATTTAATTCCAAGCTTATATTTTTGGAAGTTAATCATTTTGCAAGCCATCTGAAACAATTTCCAAGCTGTGGACTCAGAGACTTCAGAGTGGAATTCTAAAATTGGTAGGTCACTTACAAAAAAAGCATTAGGCCTTTAAAAAAAATTCCAGGCACTAGAAACAGGTTTATAGGCTGTCAGAAATCAGCCTCGGAAATCAGCATGAACTGCACTAGAAACAGGTTTATAGGCTGTCAGAAATCAGCCTCCGAAATCGGCATGAACACCACTGTGGACAAAGTGTCAGAATATTCAAATATCTTTGGTGACTAATTATCAGCTAATTATGTGCCTTCAGAAGATATTGGCAACAAATTTACCTTGAAATGATTAGTAACAAATTTATAAATTCACTTTTGGCGACTCTGCTTCCAGAGACTCCTCTCAGCTGACCAGCACTGACCAGCTCCAGCTGAGTATATATGTATTCTTCTATATTGAATGAAAAGGTTTTGTTTAACAATATGAATTCAGTCAGTTGGATGAATGAACGGAGTCAAGCAGTATTCAAATGTGGATGAATCAACTTGGACAGTGGCGCTAATACCTAGCATCAGTGTGTTAATTTCACTGCTCATATAATAGTTTTATTTGCATCATCGCATGTACCTTCCATTGTACCTACCGACCCATAAATCTTTGTCATGTCTGAATTTCTTTGTTATAAAATAGAATTGGCATAATTCTATTTTGAATTTCTATTTTTTAAAATGTAATTCCCAATTAAATTGGGTAGAAATATCTTAGTGAGCAGTCTGAGCTCATTTATCATGGCAGTTTTCCCAGCGCGCCGTAACCCATGCAATTATCAAGCCCGATCATAGTAGACTGTTGTTTCACTAGTTACTGTGTCATGTTGAAAAAAAAAAGACTTAATTATGGCTTATTATTATTTTATTTGGCCACAAACTTTAGTGGCTAATCATGCTTTGGCGACAGATCTTCAATGACAATGGCGACATTCTGAGCTTGCAAGGGCGATCTTGGCGACACAAATGACACCTTGTCCACAGTGGCATGAACATTACATTATGTCAGGCAACACACTGAAGTGAAGGTCCCAAGATTGTTAATTGTGCGTGTATTCAAAAATGAACGCGTAAGCAATAAGTTGTAAACCTTGACACACAACTATGATCTGCGCACTGCACGTCACTTGCAGATAAGCATGAGGGATCTATAGAAGGAAACGTATTTACTCTTGCCGTTCAAAGTACGTCCAATTTTACTGTACTTTTGCCGTATTGCCTAACATTCAGGCTACCAGGTTTGTGGATCGTGGTCTGCCTAACATCCCATCTACCAGGATGCCTAGGTAAACTGGCACTCACCGTAGGCTTAGCAGGAGAGACAATCAAGAGTCCTTGCAGGTTAGGTTTAACATAATGGTTTCAAATTAAATATAAAAAACATTTATTGCACCTATTTTGTACGTTAGCTTTCAAATTGAGGATAAACTCATTGGCAATTGGAGAAACTTCTTGAAGAAAAGGCAATGCACAACATGACACTTGACTCAGCTGACTGATTAGAATGGGGTACCGTACTCAACAATTTAGCAATCAAACCTTTAGATTCTGTGAACCTTGTGATGTCTTCATTATTAAAACTTTAGAAGGCTCAAAATATATCACATAAAGTTTTCACTCAATTATTGTCTCCAAGTTCGGGAGCATTATCTGCAGTTAATGCAGTTACCTCACACACCGATTGCCTAACAAGAACTAACAAGTAAACAGTAAATACTAACCATCATTCCCACCACATTGGCTGTTGCACACGATTGATTCTGCATGTATAACATTTACAATTTACGAAGGTTATTAAACCATTCTGTTGAATGTTAAATGCATTAAATTAGCATCAGTGCGTTACCATTGTGTGCATTTGGGGCGGTCCATTCTAGCTTTCTAGCGCTGATTGGATTCCAGTGGCTGTGACGTCACACACGTTCTGATGCTAATTGGATTCTTGTGACTGTGATGTTGCACATATTCTAGCAATGATTGGATTCATGTGACTGTGACGTTGGACACATTTAAGCATTATTTGGATCCTTGTTACTGTGATGATGTAAGCTCTATTTTTTCAATGACACAGCTGTGGCAGCTTGCAGAGACTTGCCAGTGATGATGATGGACTGAAAGTGTAGGTATGCTGGGCTTTCCAGATTTTTAGGTCATGCTTTCAAAATTGCTATGTTTACCAGTTAATATATTACCCCTCTGGAATTCCACACTGTAATAAATGACTTGTTTGCTAAGTCCATAGTCATGGGTAGTGCAATTCAAGGATTTGCTGGTCTTGTTGGTCTTGGCAAAGGGCACCTGGTTTTGGTGTGCCCACCCTCTTTGGGGGAGGGGGGGGGGAAGATTATATTCTTATATTAAGTGTAAAGTTAACTTCACATAAATAATTTAAAATTTAGTTACTTTTTGAGATTTCATATTTAAAATAAAGTAAAATTTATGCAGTTGATTGGGATAATAGCTAAGAGATGATTTTGTGCATTTTTTTTAATAACTTGATTAACTTCTTACCATGAAACATTTCATAAATGAGTTTTGGCTCATTTAAAATTTTTTGCAAAGGCTATGACATCTTGGAAAAATTCTATATGCTATTCATAAGGTGCCAGATAAAAAAAGTACCCTGAATTATTCCTGGGAACAGAGGTAATTCAGGACACTTGTAATAAAACTCAGATTTAAAATGTTTTAAGCATGCAGAGCAGACCAAGTAATCAAGCATGCAGCACAGAAAGACCAAAACCTCCCTGTTCAAGAGCTTGGTCCTTTTGGTTTTGTTGTACGGATGTAAGGCCCGGAAATTAGCCATGGGAGAAGAGAGAAAACTAGATATCTTCCAGACCAAATACTTATGAAAGATTTGCAAGATTTGATGGCAGCAACACATCTCAAACAAGTCAGTTCTTGATATGACAGAAGTGGAGAAAATCAGTGAGTTGGTGTTGAGATGAGGGTGGAACTGAGTGGGACATGTGTTGAGGAAGAACAGAGCAAGCGATTGTGCTGTGGCCCTTGGGTGGGCACCTGAAGGGAGAAGGAAGAGAGGATGACCAAAAACAACTTGGAAGCAAATGGTGGAAGAGGAGTGAAGCAGAGCAGGCTGGAACTCATGGAACATAGTACAGCCAGCAGCTGCAAACTGGACCCAGTGGAGGAGTGACCTCCAAGCCTTGTGCACCTTATGGTGCAGAGAGAACTGAACATACAGAGCTGGGCAGTGCTACTTTGAAATGTAGCGGCTGCTACCACTACATGCTCTAAATGTAGTTGGTGCTACAACTACTGCTACAATTGCTTAAATGTAGCACCGCTACCGCTACTGAATATGTAGCGGCCACTAGTAGCAGCCACTATATGTAGTGCGCTACTGCTCACCTCTGGTAACAACTAACATGTTGACACTAGTAACAGGCTTAGGTTGACAACATTACACCGAAATCTTTCGTACAGTTTATTCTGTAATTTATATTATGTATGTATCATGCTTGTTTTTAAATAATATTTAATACTATTAAGTAAAATCTAAAGGCTTAAGGCTTTTTCTATAAATGTAGCGGTAAAACCTCATATTGCTACTTAAATATGTAGCAGGCGCTACTGCTAGCTTCATATCAGCAGCTGAATAGCATTTCTTCTGTATCTACAAGCTTACAAGACTGGGCTTGTAATTTCACACAATTTTAATTGGGTCAATTGAATTCACTATAGCATAAAAAATATAACTCAGTACTCACTGAAGTGAGTGACTGAGAGCGCATTTTCTTGTCGACAAAAACTTGAAGTCATGGACAGACAGACAGAGGGACGAACGGACATGGCAAGCACAATAGTGCATTTTTTCCATAAATGAGAAAATGCGCTAAAAACCTAATTATTCCTGACACAGAGGAATATTTTAGTGACAACCATCCTATTTTTTGGAGAAATAAATCATAGTTTAGGTTAATTACTTTTCATTCTATGTTGCCCGGTGCACAATTTTATCTATGAAATTATTTGCATAATATTGTGATGACCAATGATGCATTTATTTTTTGGTAAGTGAATTTTTTTTTGCTGAGCAAGATAAATGTAAGTAAAATTCTTTGTTGTTGATCAATTTTTCGTTAACTGGAGCCTTTGATAACTGATTGTTCTACTGAAAATGTGTTTTTAGGGGTGTCCTATTACCCCCTTATTACTCTCATGTGGAAATGGCTGCCATTTTGTTTTGGATTCAGGTCAAAGAAGTTTTGAATCTGACACCTGCCTGCAACTTTTTTCAAGCAAAAAAATTCT